AGTTCTTCTGCCACAGGTAACAAGAATATGTGCTTTATAACATTAATAAACAGCCAATATGTTAATAATAGACATGATAATAAGCAACTAGTTAGTAGGGAGAATTGGTCCCTATACTAAAGTGTTACTAACATTTTTTGTAATTTTTAAATAAATGTTAAAGCTGCAGTCCGTAACTTCTTGCAGAAGAACATTGTAGCCGGTGCTACTTCTCTCTATGTCTATGACGGATCACGCAGGTACTGGGCTACTCCGCAGCGGTACCTACCCGAACCAGTCTAAAATAGTCCGAATATAAACCGAATATGTGCTTTATAACACTAATAAACAGCCAATATGTTAATAATAGACATGATAATAAGCAACTAGTTAGTAGGGAGAATTGGTCCCTATACTAAAGTGTTACCAACATTTTTTGTTATTTTTAAATAAATGTTAAAGCTGCAGTCCGTAACTTCTTGCAGAAGAACATTATAGCCGGTGCTACTTCTCTCTATGTCTATGACGGATCACGCAGGTACTGGGCTACTCCGCAGCGGTACCTACCCGAACCAGTCTAAAATAGTCCGAATATAAACCCTTATTATAGGTGTACCGTAGTGATTCAGGACAAGCCAAAAACACGGTTTGGAAAATGGATTCATGGTGTACTTATTATATAAATTTTGTAAATTTTGAAAACAAAAAAGTTACGGACTGCAGCTTTAACTGAAATTTGATGTGATATAAAAAAAATCTTAAACTTCATTTATTTCAGTTAATTGCCAATGCAACATTTCTTATTTTCATTAACTTAAAATATTAAAATAACTAAAACTAAAACTGAATTAAAACTAAAATTGAAGAAAAAACAATAAATGGACATATCTTCTTTAAAAAAACAAAAACAAGAATGACTAAAACTTTAATTAAAATAAAAACTAAAACAGAATATATATAAAAACAAAATAATAATAAACACCCCTAATTGATTTTGTTCTCTTGTGTTGTATTTTTGTTGAACTTTAAGTTTTGCAAGAAAAAAGTACACCAAAGTCCACTAAAATATGAAAGCGTTCACACTGCTGAGGACAAAGGATCATCCCTTTTCTATTTTTACATTTTTTTTTTAATCTTTTTCTCTATATTTAAGGGACTGGTTGAGCAAAAGAAAAGGAGTCTGCGGAAAGGAAGCTGTTTGAGTATTTTTGTGTCAGTGTTCTCCAGAGCCTTTCTTATCACATTCTGAAGGCTCATTTGAAGGTCACATAACAAGTCACATGTCTTTTTTACTTCCAGTACAAGTCATTTTTTGTGCCATGGTTTGTTTTGCTCTGAGAAAGCAAGTGCGATTTGCCAACACCATGGTGTTCCTTCAGAGAACTTCCCTTGTTAGGTTGGGTCGTGACACTTGTGTCACTCTCCCTTGAAGACCATCAAGTTGGCAGGAATGGAGCCACTAAAGAATCCAACCTAATCCAATAATAGCCTGGAGTAAGTCTGTGACTCTTTTAGACAGTGCCTGATTCCTGTGAGGGGGTCTTAGAGCTGTCATTGCCCCTTCCCAGCAGCCCTGGCCTAATGAATGGAAATCAAGCAAAAAAGGGCCCTTTTGAAACAGGCTTGTTTGTCAAAATCTGCAGCAGAGCTTGAGGTTGACGGTCGTGGTACCCTGCTCCTCATCTCCACTCTGTGTGTTAAATTAGTAACCAGACCCTGTGTGCTATGTAAGCAGGGTTATCATGTCTCTGAGAAGCCTCGGCTGCTGAAGGAGCACCTTGACCCAAGTGGCAAGACAAGCTGACGATTTCCACCCGGTGTCATACCGAAGCCATGGTTGTCCATTACCAATTCCACAGATATGCATCGGTTCAGTTGCCAGTTCCCCCATGTGAAACAGACATAAAACATAAACTGAATGCAATACCCGATTCCCCATTAGCGGGTAAGACTGAGGCGAGAAGGCGAGGGAGCGTGCAGAAGGGTAGACAGCTGGAGATCTGATCTTATCACAGACATAGGCTCGAAAAAAGTCTCCACCTAATTATGCAGCAGAGGCCCGGACCCAGAATCCACTCAGACAGCTCTTGTTCTCTGATTTACCTTCCCGCTGAGCTGAATGTGTTTCAGTGAGAGTCACATTTCAAATTGGAGTAAGAGTGACGTAGTGTGACGAGAAGGCATCAGGCATCAGCTACGCTGAATCTAATTTGGATTTGATGACATAATTTTGCATTCATAGCTGTAGTCTGTAATGAGCCAGAATAGTGAAGAAAAAAATGTAGTATCATAAGGTGGTTGCAAGGTGTTAGATCTGTTTTAGGTGTGTGAAAAATGAGAGATTTTTAGGAAATCTAAAAATTTATATCCGTTTTTAATGCTGTACATTTAGCATTGTGATGCCTGAATTCACTTGTAGCATTTAAATTATTTATTTTTAGTTTTTAATGTTTTTTTCTAACACTAAATTGTAGAGAATTTTAATATAGACTGTTTATTTGTTATTGGATATAACATGAATATAAAAATTATTTTGCCATCATATAACTCTTATTTGACCATAAAGCAATCTTTAAAAACATTTAATATTATTGTTACATATAATCTTTAGCAAATCAAAATGAAATTCAAAAAATGAATATCCATTTTTCATATTGTACATGTACATCATTACGTTGTGATGCCTCAATTCACTTGTAGCATTTGTATTAATTTAAAAACATTTAATATTATTGTTACATATAATCTTTAGCAAATCTCAAAATGAATATCCATTTTTCATATTGTACATGTACATCATTACGTTGTGATGCCTCAATTCACTTGTAGCATTTGTATTAATGATTTTAATTTATAATGGGTTTTTTCTTCTTATTTATACTAAATTGTATATAATTTAAATATTTATCTTTTATTCTTTATTGGCTATAACATGAATGTAATTATTTTACATTTAGATTACCTTTGTATTCATCTAACGTTTATTTTGCATTACGTTGTTATTTAAAAACACTAGTAGTTTAATAATATTATTAAACTACTAGTGTGTAATAATAATATTGTTATTATTATATATAATCTTTAACAAATCTCAAAATGAATAGTGATTTTCATTCTGTACATGTAATGCTGTGATGCCTAAATTCACTTACAGCATTTAAATGATTTATTTTTGATTCATTTTATTCATTATTGGCTACAACATGAATATAATTATTTTACATTTGAATTACCAGTCATATTACATTTATTTAGTGTTAAGTTCATCTTTAAAAGCATTAGTAATTTAATTAAATTGTTAAATATATCTTTAGCAAATCTCAAAATGAAAATTGATTTTTTTATATATATATTGTATATTATAATTTGATGCCTTGTAGCGTTTCAAATATAATTGTTTTATTTTTTGATTATTTAGATTTTTTATGTTGTCTGTTTATTCTTTATTGGCTAATAAAACATGAATATAAATCATTTCAATATTAGTTAGAATTGTAATATTGGTGCCTTGCTTTTTCACTATGTCTGTGCATTAAATATAGGCCTAGTATATGTCTATGCTCATAGTTTTTTTTTTTATTAAACACCATAAAGATCCTTAAGATTAAGATATATCGCTCTCAATCAAAATAGTTGAGAACCTCTCCTGTAGTGCATATAGTGCAAAGAGGTTTGCACCACTTTTGTTTGATAACATTTCTGTCGATAATTGTTTGGAAGTAGTGCGTTTTCTCTTTTCCTGTAATCCAGAATCCAGTGAGTGAGTTGGCTTTAGCAAGCTGCTTTCCATCTCCATGAGGTTATCATAGCAAGCTCATGTTGTGAATACCGCAGCTAAGAGCTCTTTAATAAACACTTCTCATTGGCAGCGGTCTCCTCGGCGTACATAAGCCCGAGGTGCTCCGTGCATGTCGAGATAAGGGCCTCCACTCTCTCCGAGTGCCGAGGAATCAGCCGCTAGAGCAGCTGTGGAGCCGCCGCAGATAATAAACAATATATTCTCTGTCTATTCCCTCAGAAAGTCTTCCGGGGAAGCGACGGAAAACGTAGGTCCCCCTGCATTGTGAGGAGTTCATAAACAGAGCGGCTTTCCGTAGCAAACACGAACGCCATTGTCTCCGGCATTGCGCCTTCGCCACTTGACAAAAGCGGGGACATCACAAAAGGAAACACCTATTCAGATGTAAATGCTCATTTCAGCCATCAGACATCAAAGCTTCTCTTCTTTTTATATTCTTCCGTTTTGCTACATTAGGAAGCAGGAGTGTAATCATCTTCATTTCTTCTCGTCTGCCTTTGTGTCTCGGGGCTTTTTGTGTATGGAACGTGGTGGGTGGCGCAGCAAACACTTCTCAGACTTCATATGATTCAACAGAATGGAAGGAAGTTATTTTGTGTGTGATGTAAAGCAGTTCCTGAGGAAAATAAACAGAGAACAGTAGGTTGCATTCAATTGAGGTAGGCTGCAGGCAGAAGGGGGCTTTCTGGACTCAGGGCTGCCAGGATGCTGTGTTTTGCTCCGCTGGGCCATAGCTCAGAACCAGAGGAAAGGGGAATCGTGCGAGTTTGTGTGTGTTCAACTCTCTCGCTCCCTATGACAGGTGGGATCCTAACAGGGAGTGCGGTGGCGGTGATAAAACAAAATTTTAACAATGAAATTAATTGTTATTTTTTTAAAGATTTTTAATTCATTATATTTTTTGTAATTTGTTTTAATTTTTATTACTAATTATTTACTTGAATAATTACTTGATAAATGTGAAAATTTATGTTTTATTAATTTTTGCTTAATCTACCTAATTATAAAAGTACTTTTGAAGTACATTTATATACTTGTGCATTCCTTTGTTTAAATATCGTTTGCTATTTTTATATTGTATTAATATTTTTTATGTATCAACAAAAACGGTATGTACTGTTTACATTTTTAATTGGTTGTATTTCTCAGAATTTTTTTTTTTGTTATTTTGTTACTGATTTTTGAATGTGAGCAGTCAAGCCATTCACAGCAAAAATGCAGGTGTGTGCCTGTTAAATTGTGGAAGAGCAGAAAGATGGCGCTGTCTGTTTTTTTCTTCATTGATTTTCCAGTGAGACTAGTAGGCTAGTTTTTACGAGGTAAACAAAATTCAGCATTTTTCTTTTACTGTAAACATTGTATATATTCAGTATATATTCATGAAACAAAAAAAGTTTGTTATTCATAAGTTATTCATAATAAATTAATTTCAACAACAACGGTATGTACTGTTTACATTTTTAATTGGTTGTATTTCTCAGAATTTTTTTTTTTTGTTATTTTGTTACAGATTATTTACTTGAACAATTACTTGATAAATGTGAAGATCAGTGCTTAAATTTGACTTAATTTACTTAATTTTAAGTTTAAATACCTTTAAAGCACTTTTATACGCAATAATGTTTAATATATTCATTTATTAATATTTATTATTATTAATCATCAACAACAATAAATATAATAAATAAAAAATTATCTAAATCTAACCATCTAATCTAATATAATATAGTAAAAATATTAAACCTTTTAATATTAAACGTTTTTAAATAAAGCAACATTTTTAGTAGCATGTTAGCTTTTGCTGTGGTATCGAGAATTGTGAAATTTTACTGGTATTGATATTGACTATTAAATAAAGCCGTATTTTTATTGAAGAACTTTCCTGAACGGCCTTTATATTTTCAACATGTCATTGTGACTATTAAAATTTAGAGTGCAAAAACTTTGCTGACCTTTCAGTAACTATGTCAGAGTAAGAGGAAAGAAGATGAGGTGCATTGAGAAATTTCCCTGGGGGGCAGGGACTGCTCTGAATATCTGGCGTATGACCAAAACTTAACAGAGCTCTGCATTTGGCCCATGTCATAAATAAATTTCCCCTCTGTCTTGCAGATGGCCTGGCCGCCCTGTCGTTCTCCATCAGCTCGCTCACCTTGATTGGCATGCTGGCAGTGATCACATACACGGTGAGTGGCCAACAAAGAATTGGTAATGGTGGGTGGTTACTTGTGCCCCATTGATTTGCATGCGGTTACAAGGGTTGTGCAAAGAGACTGCTCAGCACTGTCACGGGGAAGCAGTTTTAGACATAATATGCATGTTTCTGTCCACAATTTAAGTATGCTTGTCTATCCTTTTATAGGCTGAAGTGTGTCATTTCTGTACCGCTAGTATCAAAACCTCTGCCTCATTTGCCATTGGTTGAAAAAAACAGATTGTCCCGCCCTAAACTCATGCCATTGGTTGAACCAGTGTCAGGCTGCTTTGGAAGTTCAAACAAACAGCAATGATTTGACTATGTAATTACAACAACTAAAGTGATTATTGCGATTATAGATGTGTAAGAGAATCATTTTCCTGAAGTGGTTGTTCACCTAGCTTTGATTGTAGAGTCCCGATAGGTCATCTTCATGCGTAGGTTTCTCATATGCCACAAAAGCCGCCTGTATGGAAACAGTCTTTGATTGTAGTCATCCTGAATGATGAAGCGGCCCCTCAACGTTAGAAATGTTTTGTGATTCTTGCGTTTTGGCCTGCAATCGCTCAAAATGACACTCTGTCATTTCTCACCGATGTGTGTGGATGTGTGCCTGAGACGTCGGCGTGATGTATATGCCCTGTTATCTCTCTCCTATTTATATATCTGAGCCTGAAGGCCATTAATAAATGCCCGTATTCTGATTCCTTCAGCGTACTGTAGCTGTTCTATTTGGATAAGATAAATTGATTGTACTGTAACACTTGTTAATGTCATCCATTTTTCATCGCCAACATCATGAGTAACCAGGCTATGAGAATCTCCGCTTTATCAGGGATTGAAGAGAATGAGGTGGAATACGATTCACTGTGGCACACTATTTTAAATAAATATATAAATATTTAATTTTACATAAAGGAGCATATTCAGAAGCATAATAATTTTTGCAGTGATAAAGAAATTGGTATCGCAAATTGTGAACTGGTGCTTGTATGTATAGTAATATATGCGTGATATTTTGTAATACTTTTTTTCAGGATTCTTTGATGAATAAAATGCTGAAAAAATAGCATTTATTCAAAATAGAAATGTAACTGTATACACTACCATTCAAAAATTTGGGGTCAAATCTTTTTTTTTTTTTTAAAGAAATTAATAATTTTATTTAGCAAGGATATATTACATTCTTACAAAAGATTTTTATTTTGAATAAATGGTCTTCTTTTTAACTTTTTATTCAATAAAATAAAATAAAATAAAATAATATATATATAAGTGCTGTCAAACGATTAATCGCGATTAATCACATCCAAAATAAAAGTTTTTGTTTACATAATATATGTGTGTGTGCTGTGTATATTTATTTTGTATATATAAATACACACACATGCATGTATATATTTCAGAAAAATATGTTATGCTTATATATTAAATATATTTATTTATAATATAAATTATATGAATATAAATATAGACATGTA